CAACCTAACTTTAAGTGCACCCTAGAAGCACACACCCCATGCTACATTTCTGCAAGTTGCACTAAAAAAGACTACATTTCTCTTCTAATTACCATCACAACAGCTCCCATTATGGTTTGACCCTAGTAATTTAGTTATATTTATGCTGCTACAATGCACCAAATAGATAATAATGAATACTGATGCAGCCTTGGGTTGAAGCAAACTATAATTACACAGGCTTAATGAAGTTACCAGAAAAGGCACTATGTAAAAAACATACTCAGATTAAGAAAAGAAAAAAAAACATAGAACGTTTCACATTCCTAAAGCTCTGCTTTATACTTGGAAATTCCTGGAGACCTGGACGTGTGCTGTTCACTTCTCTTCCTTGATTTCTGGTCTGTGACTTCTGGACTTAGATCATCACATTCCGAGCTTTCATCTTTGACTTCTTAGTGTCTAACTGTAGTATTTGTCAAATCAAGACAAACAGTTGCATGACTTACAGAGTAAATCAAATGGGATACTTATTTGGCAGTCCAATTTTGTATTAAATATGCCAAATTAAAATTTAAAATCAGGAGTTTGGTTAAGATGTTGGTAATCAGATCCATCCAATGAGGCTGGAGCTCCTTAGAACAGCAGTTAACAGAGTTACTGCACCTGTAAACTAAAGTCACAGCCAGTTAGCATCTCAGGATGAATGGAGTTGAATCAGAAATTGGTTTTGTGGAAGTTGAAGTTTAACAAGTGGTTTGTGGTAGGAAAAAGCAAAAGGGGTAGTGACGGCATGTATTGATAATCAAGGCTCTCCTCTGGAAAGATTTAGACTAACTTTGTGAACCAGCGAGGCAGGACTAAAAGAATCGTATGTTCCCAACTGTTCACGTTGAGTTGGACACTGTTTTGGTTCATTGAATAATGAGAAAAGATACGGAAAAAAAGATGTACATCTGTCTCAATATTTCACATGACATTTTTATAATTATTCTGGCCCTTTTCCTGATTTTCATTTGTCTATGAGGGAAATGGGGAAGGAAGAAGAAACACGGCTTCCATGGACTGGCCATGACTTGGAGAAGTGGGAGAAGGAGATCCCACGGGCTTCATAACCCTCACCTTGTTCTTATCTACACTAATCTCTTGTAAACATGAAGAACAGTCATGCTTATCTTATATCATAAAATAACTTCTACAGTTATCAATTTCTAAGAAGGATAATATCTTTAATACAGAGTCAAGTCCTCATAAAAATTCTCCTAATGGTTTAGCGGTCATGTTAAATTATCTGTGGCTATTCGGGCTCAACTGGCTGAAGTTCCAAAAGGTGCTTCTAAAGAGATTTCTCTCATTCTCCTCATTGTTGAATAGTTCTCAACTATTTCATGCCCCAGTAGGCCCGCATTCCTATTTTAAGTGCATATCTGGGTAGCAGATTAAGAGAAAAAGGATAGAGGCAAAGTTAAAACTTGCCAAAGAGATTTTTTTTTTAATTTGCCATTTTTCCCCATGTCTCCTCATCAATGCATAACTAGAAATAACTCTTGGCCGAACTGAATTTTTATGCCCCATAATGTATTTCATATCCCCATCACTCACTCTCTCTTATCTCTACTGCTTCTGTGATCCATCAACTGCCCCTTTCTCTATACCAGGTGATCTTGCTTTTTAGCTGTGGAGGGATCCAGCTGTTCATCTGGGAGTCATTTGAGTATCCAGTATTAAGAGGTGGAGCAGCTATATTTTGCTTCACCTGCTACACTTTTTTCTATCTTTGTAATTGGATTTCCTGATGAGAGTGAAGCTGCAGTGGGGACAGATGTTCTTAAAATTAAAAAAGAAAAAAGGTTAAGGACCAGAGAAAGCGTATAAACATGGGGTGATTCGCATTGTTAAAAATGAAGTCAATGTGCTTTGGATTTCATAGGCATTTCTGATTAAAATAAACCAAAGCGAACTTTGGACTCCAATAAAACTTCACTGTCTTGTAGAGACAGGAGAGAAGAAGTGGGCATGAGAGAGATGTGCCCATTATATCTGGTAGGTCTTTTCTACAGCTAGTCCCAGGAGTACCAGGAACTCTTCGGGAAAGTACCCTTGCTGAGCAAGGAGTTATAGCAAAGAGAAGTCTTTGATTAGAGAGAATTGAGAAATGTAGGTTCTTTCTCCATTTTAAATGCTTTGGCTCTGGTCCAAGGAGGATGCGTTTGCCCTCAACCAGATTCTGATTGCTATGCCATAAATAAAATAAAATACAGTAAAATAGAATAAAGTAAAAAATGAAATAAAACAAAAGTTCCCTTGTGATGTCCCAATCACAAGATACGTGTCTCAAGTATTAATCTTCCTCACCTACACACATTGGTTCCATCCACCAGTTTTATCATGAAGTTGGCTTAAAACTGAGGATACATCTTGTCTTTCACTACACATGATGGATTCCAGATGTTCAGATTAAATAATGGTTCTCCCCTGTAGACAGAAGGGACCATAGCAGCAAAGTAACTAAGCAAAATGAGCAAAGCAGGCCCTGCAAATGATCTTAATTATTCCAACGATGAGGGAATAGAAAAGCACTGGGTAATACAACAAACAGCCCTTTGAAAGAGCAAACGAAAAGCCCTGGTAATTTACATTTAAGTCAGACCTGCTCCCTGCAAAGTATAATGTGTGTGGAATAATTTGGGAAGAAATCTATCCCTGTACCATTTTCATAATTGGTATTCTATGCCAACTCTCCAGAAGCAAATAGCATTATAAATCATAATGTTAATATTTTCAATTTTTTACAATAGTGTTATACAAAGTATTATTGCTGAAAATATGAATGTGCTTTTACATTATTCAAGAAATCTCGTGCTTCCAGCATTTGAGAAGGCAGTTACAAATGTCATAACCGAGGGAAGTCAGAGTTATACAGCATACAGATACATAGAAACAAATCTATACCTTTATTTCGACTTTCCATGATTAAGAGAAAGCACAGCTGATATTCTACTTGGCATAAAATTGCCCAAATGCAGTCTTCCAGGCCTTGGAAAATGGAGTAAAATTGTAGTTCCTGTCAATGCTGGATCGAAAGGTGAGTTCTGCCCCAGAGATTTTTGGTGGTTCTCTACTATGCCGTAAATTAATCTGTCCAAATCATTGACACTCATCCACAAAGCACAGGTGGCAGTCTCCTCTTATACACACCAAAGTGAGTGAGATAAAAATAAATTGTGCTGCCATTAAAAACATGCCAAAATAATATTTTTCCCATCTGCTAAGCCCAGCCCCTGTGGTAAGTGAACTAACAGGTTTCCACGCTCACACTTGATGAACAGACACCACAAGCAATTAATTAACATTAACATGACAGGAGTCAATTGGATTTCTCTCTCCTTTAGACATTAATCAAAGCCAAAAACAGAATGCGCACTTTGTATAACACTCAGACTTGTGGGTCTTCAGATGTGGCTGCTCTAAAGCCCATTTCTGTCTAAATATTTACAACAAAGTTGGTCTGCTCAACAGTCCTATCAAGGGGGACTCTATGTCCTGGCTTCCATACTGCCAAAGCCACGACCAGCAGCCCCATCGCCACTTGGCCTGCCTTATTTTCCTGATATGCACACTACAGACAAGGACAATTCAAGGGCAAAGTCTATTTTTGCATTGAACCAGTTAGTTAAAAATAAACTTTACAGTTTCCCTCCCGTTAAAAAAAATACGCCAGATAAATATATATGTTTTAAAATGTTGCTGTGAGGAGTACTGGAGTCCAAAAAGAGAGGAGTCTTGGCATTAAAAAGCCACTAATTATCCTTAATCTCATCATAAATACTTAAGGTAATATTAGACTTCTATAGAAACGGTCTATGGCTGAAAAACAAAGTTTGAATAAATGGATATAGTATTAGAAAAAAGAAATCTAGCAAAGGAATCCTCTAAATAAGCTCAGGTCAGGAGAAGGGTATCAGTGAATTATTTCAAACTTCTGAGGTAGAAATAATGCTGCTATTTGTTTTTGTCAAAACACAGAGCAATAAGTTAACTCCTAAAGGTCTCGTTATAAAGTCAATGTAATAGTGAGGCTTCGTGACATCTAACGTGGAAAGAGATCAAGACTGGGGCCTTGGAGCCAGTGCACAAAAATGAATGAGTCGATCCCTTTCTGAATTTATAGCTCTTCGTTTTGAGTTGAGTCTCAGTAGGTAAACCTAGTTGAAGGGGAAAAAAAAGCAGACAATTCACACAAATAAAAAAAAAGGAACAAATGGCTAAGATGTGACATATGAATATACATAGAAATAGACTGTCTATGGGTCACTAAAAAAAGAGACATGAGTGCTTGCTCAATTAAGTTGTGTCCTGGGGTTGCTCTCCTAATGCAGACAGGACTGAATGACACCGTGGGGAGGCCAGATACTGGCAGAAACAGAAGGTTTCTGGGTGTTATCTCCCTCCTGTTCTGTTCTCTTCCCGTCTCTTTCCTCTCTTTCCCTCTCCCTCACACCTTCCTTCTGTGCTCTCCATCTCTCCTTTCCTAAACTTTTCCTGGGATGCTAATAGACATCACTGACTAGAACAATTTCTACCTGCTTACTTATGCCAACTCTTCCTGTTGAATGGATGTCAGGAGGGGAGCCCATCTAGAGTGGAGGCTCACCCCAGAGGAATCACTACCTACAGATACTCAGTTGTTGTCATACGTATAATTTAATTGAATCCTGTCTATCTATCTATCTATCTATCTATCTATCTATCATCTATCAATCTCCATTTGAATCCATTCTACTTTAGTTAATTCCAAGAGCATCTGTGGCAGATAGATTTTCCAAAGATGGCTGCATTATCTCCAGTGCCACATCTCTGGAACCTTGCCATTCCCTATCAAGAGATGAAGTCTAATTTTCTTTCCCTTGAAACTGAGACTTGCTGATAACCAATAGATTATGGCATAAGCAACACTGTGTGACTTCTAAGGCTAGGTCATAAAAGGTGTTGCAGCTGGGATACTTACTTTGGGAGACCACATAGGAACCCTGACTACCCAGAAACTGCTGTGCTGGAGAGGCTGCATGTAGGAGGCACTCTGGCTTACAGCCTCAGCTGAATCTAGGCTAACAGTCATAACCAACTGCAAGCCAGGTGAGAGAGCCTTCTTGAACATCTCATCCCTTGAGCCTGCAGATTACTGCAGCCCCAGAGGACATCTACTGCAACCATATGTGAGACCCGAAACTAGAACGGCCAAGTAGAGCCCTTCCCAAATTCCAGACCCACAAAATCACGAGCATGTTTTAAGTCCCAAAGTGTTTTGAACAATTTGTTATTCAGCAATAGTAACTGGAACAGTCAAAATTTCAAGGGATGACTCCTGATTAAAGCTCATTGGAATAGAGCACTCACAACTTGAGGAACAAGACTGTAGAGAGAAAGTTAAATTTAACTGTATTTTATAGGAGATTCTTTGTTCTATTTCTGTAAAAAGTGTTGAGAAAAGTTTTGGGTATTGTACACTTTTCTCAGAGCATCTTCTTCAGCAACATCAAAGGTACATAGACATGACAACTATACTTCTTGTTTTCATTCATCTCCTTTGGTCTCCTCATGGAGAAAACATTTGAGTTTCCTACCCCACAATACTCCTTATCCAGTTTTGTTTTTTAAAGATTTACCCTGAGCTAACATCTGTTGCCAATCTTCTTCTCTCTTTCTTTTTTTTTTCCTCTCCAAAGCCTCAGTACATAGCTGTATATTCTAGTTACAAGTCCTTCTAGTTCTTCTACATAAGCTGCCACCACAGCATGGCTACTGACAGACGAGTGGTGTGGTTCCTCGCCCAGGAACTGAATCTGGGCTGCCAAAGTGGAGTGTGCCAAATGTTAACCATAAGGCCATCAAGCCTGGCTCCTCCTTATCCAGGTTGATTAATATATTCTGACCTCCATTCAAGACACCCTTCCTTCTATCAGAACTGGCTCTATCATTTTGTCTCTAGGAGAAAAGTAAGGGAAGGAAAGATATGACATTCCAAGAATTACAGGTGAAGAATTTTGATTATTGGGGCCAGCCCCTGGCTGAGTGGTTAAGTTTGTGTACTCCACTTCGGTGGCCCAGGGTTTCACTGGTTCAGATCCTAGACATGGACATGGCACTGTTCATCAAGCCATGCTGAGACAGCATCCCACATAGCACAACCAGAAGCATTCACAACAAGAATATACAACTATATACCAGGGGGCTTTGGGGAGAAGAAGAAGAAGAAGAAGAAAAAAAGATTGGCAACTGATGTTAGCTCAGGTGCCAATCTTTGAAAAAAAGAAGAATTTTCATGATACTTAAGAATGCCTCAGTTTTCATTTTAAGGAATGATTAATTGGCCATTTTATATTATCTGCCACATTTTTACAACAAATATCTATGTGGTAATAAGCATTACTTTGAATTTTCTAAATGTACAGTTTACTTTTTAAAATGTTTTGTTTAGAATATTATTCACATTAGCCTAATCCCTATCTTCTTGGCAAATAACTTTGAGTACCTTTGCACAATTATTGAATATGTAAGAGTTTCTTTTTATAAACAATTTTTTTTACTTTTCCACCAATTGTCTCAGTATATGGTCTTGAGCTCAGGAAAATAATCGCATTAACCTTTGAGTGTGTTATTTTCTTAGCCATAAGCTGTGAAGTAATCTATGATTCAGCTTGCTCACACTGCTCTGTCCTTGTAGGGAGATGATCCAGCTGATGACAATCTGGCAGATTTATTTCCAGGGAGAATTAGTCCCACCCTGTGTGGGTGTCAGCTTGAATGGCTCTAGTCCCCATGGGGCAAAGAGGTCCTGTCACCTCAGCAAGCAAGGAGGGCAAGTTGGAGCCAGCTAACATCCGTCAGGAACTCCAAGGCCAAAGGCATGATCTGGAGGGAAGAAGTGAGTTCACCGTCAACTAGACTAAACTGAAAGGGAAAAAGAATGTAAGTTAGATCATCAACTTGGTCCCAATCAGAAGGAGAAAACTGCTAGCTGTGAAATAGCACTAGTAATTTATCTTTTATTTGCGAAGCCACTTTAGCATATTATGCTAATGTTAGTTAGGATAGCAAGAATGGTATGTGTATTGTTCTAATTTGGACCAATAAGTGGAGTAAAAATTGCATTCAGTGACTGAATGCTTCAATGGGGCTTCCTAGGGGAAGTGACCAGACCCAGGGGATGCAGAGTCTAACTCGGACCCTTGGCCATCTTATACTCTCAAGTTTTTTTTTTTTTTACTGTGACATGAAAGACCTCTGAGGACATTTCCAGACTTAGGAGTCTCAGTCCTGAAGAACATCTTCATTTATCTGGAATGCTTTTGAACTTACAGGGTACTTTCAAATTAAACAGCTGCCTTTTAGATTGGAGTCTTAATTACCCTTAATCTCACAAGTTTGTAGGAGGAAGGAAGGGCCTCTCGTACAGCAACCATCTCTTGTAAAACAATGCTTTCATGAGTTCAGTGCAAATGATTTGGAAGCGTAAAGTTTGAATTTTCTCTTGAATACATAAGAATGTTCATGTTAGTAGGGGTGGGGGAGGGTTAGTATGCGCTTAGACTTTTATCAAAACCCTTGAACTTGGAAAAAGAGGTGAGTATATTTGAGAAATCCAAAACTGATGTGGAAGTCACCCGTTTTCAGGCAAACACACTTGTGAAGCATAGTGCGAACACTGCAAAATGCTTGGTGTTTATTTTTACAATTGGATTTGCCTTAAGGTCAGAGAATGGGTGGCTAATGGTGTTTGATAAATTATGGCTGAGGGCATAATAATGTTTAGGCTTAAGGCATCTTATAGAGATTCTGAAAGGCTATACTTTTACATTTGAAAGAGTTAAAAGCAATTTATTTTAATAGCAACAATAACAATGTATATGGATACAGATACAGATAGATATAGATATGTGTATATATTTGAAGGACAGAGGTCCTCAGTGTCAGCAAAGGCCCAGTTAATGAGCTAAGGTAAGGTGGCCCCGTCTTGCAGGCGGAAGTATATTTGCCAAGACAGGTCAGGTCTGAGTCACCATTTTTGGGTTGCTGGCAAGCCGATGAAGTCAGCCCAGCTCTCTGTTCTCCTGACTAGACCAAGATCTGGGTCAAAATCTAGGCTCTGCCCATGTGGAGAGGAAAACAGGCATGGGCAGGCCAGTAGCGAGCAGAGGTCTACTATGACCATCAAACCCATTGCTCTCAACAAAAAAGTAAGAGCATTTTAGCTTGGCACTGGGGTGAAAAATAGAAGCAACCAGTTTCCTTGCCAGAAATGTAACCAAACCATTCCTGAAGCTTCCAAGAACTTGGGGACACATTTTGATTTGTGCAGCAACCTCTAGATTTGCTGCTTTTGGCTGGGATGTTTGGAAGATTCTTGGAAACTTTGTGGTAAATCATCCAGGCCAGTGCTTTTCAAACTTTAATGTGCACATGAACGCCTAAGGATTTTGTTAAAATAAAGTTTCTGATTCAGTAGGTGTGCCATGGGTCCCAAGAATTTGCATTTCTAACAAGCTCCTAGGTGAAGCTAATGCTGCTGATCTGGAGACCACACTGTGAGTAGCAAGAAGATGAGCAGTTCTGGCTGTATATTGTAATCATACGTGTAGTGTCACCAGATTTGGCGTATAAAATACAGGATACCCAGGGCAATTTGAATTTCAGATAAGCAACAAATGATTTTAGTATAAGGGTGCCCCATGCAAATATTTGCGACATATTCATACTAAAAAATAATTCCTCTTTATCTGAAATTCAAAATTACTTTGGCATCCTCCAAATTATCTCCAAGTCTACATAAGGAACATTAACAAATCTCGAAGCCTGAGCTCCTGCCCCAGATATTCTGATTTTATTGGTCCACTGTGCAACCTGAGCATGTGGACTTTAGAAAACTTCCCAAATGATTCTAATGTGCGGCCAAGGTTGAAAATTACTGATAAAAACTCAGCCGCTTGCTAATTAGGTGAGAAAACTGAAGCCTAAGGGGTTGTATAGGATGACCAGTAGAGGAATGGGGATTAAAATTTAGGGTTTCACCACTCTTTGCCCTACACTCCCTCCATCTCGAGTAGAAAGTCTGTCCCTTCCTTAGAGGTCTCAAGGCAGCCTCCTTCCCGAAGTTTATTTGTTCCTAGATCCCCGAGGTAGGGGGTCATCTCCCCTGATTTGAGTCACTCCTTTAAACCCCACAGACCTTATCCTAGCTAAATATTCAGAATGCATTTCGAGATCTACCTTTTATGAATCGTAATTGATGGATGCTTTAAAATTCATCTATTCTCATTCTAAACCTCACATCTGGGAGCTTTAAAAAACAATGGTATCTGGATGCCACCCCAAGAGATTCTGATTTAATTGGTCTGGGCTGTAGCCTAGGCACTGGGATTTTTGGAAAGCTCCCTGAGTGATTCTAATGTGCAGACAGGGACATTATTGCTCTATCAGCCCCTTTAAATGCAGCGGACCTGGGGCCTGTGACTCTAAACTTGTCTGTAAGCGGTGGGTCCAGCTGAGCCCATCACAGATGTGTGTAAATCAGCAACTTCAAAGGCTGGAAACATTGAGCTTGACTGCAGGGTAAACCTGGAATGCCTCATATGTTATTCTTTCAAGACTTGTCAAAGCATCTGAATTCATTCTAATTAAAAAACACAGTTTCCTTCGATTCCAGCGTCTTAAAATACCTATATGAGCCTTGTATGTATTTCCACTGGTCCTAGGATATCCTGTTTCTCTGATGAAATGCAGAGTAAATAGTTATTTTAAAAAGTAATTTTTTAAAAAAGGAGACGGGAGGTGGGGAGAGGGAGAGAAAGCCAGCATTTGCTTAATCTGAGCTGTCTAACTATTAGTTTCAGGGTGCTAGGAAATCTCCCCCCTCCCCAGCCCTTCCTTGTGATCTTGTACTTTTTCCCTCTTATCTGAAGAAAGTAGCCCAGATTCTTGCTTTAGAAACAGCTGCATATCAGGCCTTTGGTGAGGAAGAGAGAATTCTTAGGCAAAGTATTTTGGCAGGAGCTAAGACAATAAACAGTAAGACTTTGTACTTTCTTCCTGCTTTCTCCTTCAAGAACTAAAATGCACTCAGAGCAAGCCATGAATGAATTGCTACTATTTAAGATAGACAGATGCGGGTCTTCTGAAGTCTGAAATTGCAGGGTATTATTTCTCACACTTGTGGAGGTCATTCACAGCTTTTCTATAGGGAATCACTCTCTCCCATCAGAGAGTGATAACAAATAATTAGAGTGCTTGTTAATTAGCCTGATCCTATTACAGCGAACGACCTCATTACATCTCTGTAAGCTTGGTGAATTTACTTAGGTTTAGATGACTAGATCACATGATCGGAGCTTCACCATTTCCAAGCCAAATTTCCCAACTCCCAATTCAAATGTTCTTCATAAGCAAGCCGGACCAACACCCGTGATTTTGTTGTATGGTTCTGGTTTTATTATTTAAATCAGATAGACTTTGATTCGACTCCTTCCAGGTCCATTGAGAGAAAACTAGACTACACAGATGGAAAGATTTATTGGCTGAGTACAAGTCAAGTCTAATCACCTCCTCAGCTTCAACCCACCTGCAAGTCCTAGAACCATCCTGTACAGCTGGAGAGTATAGCGACTCTGCAGTAGTTTATCCAAGAGTGTTGTCATTTTCACCAAATTATGACATGCGCTTTGGAAATCTAGAGAGAAAAGTGAAAAGGAAAGATGTCCATTTTTATGAGATGGGGCATCTCTTTTTAAATTGCCATTTGTCAGAAAACTTTTTTGAGGTATTTAATTTGTGTTATGATTCCTTTATTTTTCCCTTCCTTTCTTCCAAACCTCAAATACTCCTTTGCCTCAGGGGAGGTTTATGTGACAGGGTCAAAAGTAGACGTTATCTTTAGACCATTCGAGGTTGTAGTTCTCAGCTTGCGTTTTCCAGAAGCCTTGAGGTCAGGGAAGGGAGACTCCTAGAGAGATGTGGATATGAAGTGACCAGTAAAAAAACTAAGACCAAAGAAAACCTTGCTCTGTGTTGTATCCAAGAGGCTAGAACCCAAGCTAGAGCTGTGTCTTCTAGAATTACAAAACCTGAGTTTGGGGCAGCACAGCTTTCTGAGTTGGAGTTAATGGTTATCAAGGGATTTGTAGGCTTGAACAAGAAGTAGGCTTGTAAGATTTAGCAAATACAAATACAGGACACCCAATTAAATTTGAATTTCAGGTAAATGTTGAATTGCTTTTAGTGTAAGTATGCCCATGCAATATTTGTGACATATTTATGATAAAAAGTATTCACTGTTTATCTCAAATTCAAAATGAGCTGGGTGCCCTGCATTTTATCTGACAAACCTAGCAAGGTAGATTTCATTATTGATTATGATGGACTGGCGGAGACATATCTTGGGTTTTATTTTCCAGATATCACACAAACCTCCTGGATTCTCATGTAGCACTAGGTGAGAGGAAGGACTCCCCTTTAATGGCTAAAATATATTTTCCATCAGCTGGACCAGATGAAGGCTCAGAGTAAGATTTAATTGATTTTAAAGAAAAATCTTAAAAATTGGCATTTCTTGCACATCAAAGTCTTTGATTGCAGGTGCCTACTCAGTATAACCATAATCCTTGTCTGTCGTAGTCATACGATACATGGTTTCTCTGGAGATCTGAGGTAGGGCATTTGGTCACTTTCCTGTAGCGGGATGAGGAGGTGGAGGGAGAGAACCTTGAAAGTTTGCTTTTATTTTCTCTCAGTGTGACAAGAGGTCATCTGTCACAGGATGGAAACTAGGGTTTTGCTGGGGAACGTGATGCAGTCTATACAGGAAGTGAAACATGATGTTATACACCTGAAATTTATACAATGTTATAAACCAATGTGACTTCAACAAAATAAATTTTAAAAAATAATAAAAAGAGATTGGGAGACTCTTGGTACCTTGTTTCTAAAACAGATAATGCCTATTGTTACCAGAACCCTATTGGTTTCAGTGGAAGGTGGACTTTATAATACTTCTCTTCGATGAAATAAATGGTGGGTTTTGTCCTGCAAAGTGAATCATGTCATGTAAAATATACAGCAAATGCATTAACATCAGGATGATCAAGTTTTCGTGAAATGCCCAACACTGTTAAGATTCTCAGGGAAATGGCTTACCCTTTCCACATATGTCTACCTATATAGGGAAAAGAACTGGACACGAGATGTTCATGAACATGACCCACTAAATCAACCACGGCTCACACTCCAATTTGCAAGGCAGCAAGGGAGTCATAATGGACGAACCATTTGTTTCTGGGATGGAGCACAGCTGCTGTCTAATGGGTCGGGGAGGAACCACAGCCTGGGACAGGAAGTGAGGAGGGATCCTTGTGCAGTTCAACCTAAAGGTGAAATTGAAGCAGGCAGACGATAATGTTCCAAGAATCAATTCAGGGCAGACAACAGGATTAACATCCCTTCTCTCAGTGACATTATGCCAAAGGCTTTTTTGTTTTATTTTACTATTTTTTAAAACAAGCTACAGCCTTCAGATCCTGAGTTTAAAAGACTGATCCGGGCCTGAGTCATTGGCACCACTCCCTAACTTCTCCACTGCAGGTGTGCTGCAGGTCGCTTCCGGCTCACACCAAACCCAGCCCTCCCCCCTTCCCTATCTCCCACCTGACAATCGTAAAATTTAAGGAGCTCCTCTCAGGGTGGTATCGCTTCAGGCGTATGAATTCCTTCCGGGGCTCTTGGAGCTTGGAAGCAGTTTAAAGGTAAGAAGGTTTGAAGAGTGAATGAGTTCCCAAGAATAAACACGTTTCAAAGGAACCTGAATGAGGGACTTTGTTTTTGTGGGTTTTTTTATGACCTTTGCTTACTTAATGTAGTAACTCCTTGAACATATTGCCTGGTATGACATAATTTATTTACATAATTCTGCATCGGAAAATTATGAGCAAATCCAAAGAAAACTTCTGGAAAGAAGAAAACTTTTTGTGAGGATGCTGGAATGAAATATGTGTAGGTACATATGTGTATGTATATATACGTGTCTATATAACACAGCTCTGATGGTCTAGTGGTTAAGATTCAGCACTCCTATGCTGTAGCCTGGGTTCCACCACCTGTCTGTCGGTTGTCACACTGTGGCAGCTGTGTGTTGCTGTGTTGCTGAAAGCTGTGCCACCAGTATTTCAAATACCAGCAGGGTCACCGATGGTGGAGAGGTTTCAGTGGAGGTTCCAGACTAGACAGACTCGGAAGAAGGACCTGGCCACCCACTTCTGAAAAAATTGGCCATGGAAACCCTATGAACAGCAGTGGAGCATTTGCTGACATAACATGAGAAGGTGAGAGGATGGTGCATAAGACCAGGCAGGATTCTGCTGTGCCATACACAGAGTCACTAGGAGTCAGAATCCATTCACTGGCACTAACAACAACAAACATACATACATATATTTCATTCTAAAATCCTCACCAAAACAAGTCTTGTTTTTGTGTATGTGTATATATATATATGTATATGTGTATATACAGATATAGATATAGAGAGATTTAGATATACAGATGTTTGAAAAAGAGGGCAAAATAAATTTAGATCATAAGCCAATTTCCAGCCTGTTTCAATTTATGCCAGAGTATTTCCTATGGAATTCAAAAAAAAAGAGGCTGGTTTGTAATTATTCCAATCCACATTTCTGCTCTTTTAAGCATCTCAGCTTTTGCTACCTCAATGTGATACAGAAGCGGGGAAGTCCTTTAAGTACTCACTGGGAGAGTTGGCAACGCTCATGGCAGAATCACAGTACAAGAGGTAAGGAGAAGAGTTTACCTTTTGTGCCTGCTGGAAAGAGGATAGCACTTCTCTCTTGCAGTGTGGAAAGGTGAAAAAAGGAGAAGAGAGAGTCTCTCTTTTTAGAAGAGTAAGAGTGACTTGTCCACTTTCTCAAAAATGTTTTTCATGTCACCTAAAATAGATCATAAGCTCCTTTATTTTATTTATCTATTTGTTTACTCCCTAACTTTACCTACAGTGAGACTTTTATTTCCCTAAATCTCAGACCAGAAATTTAGGTAGTGGGACTGGGGATAAAGGATATATACGGGAGATGGGGGAGGGGAGGGAATCAGGTGAACTTTTCAATCCCAAAAGCCCTGAACCACATTATCCAAAATGCCAAGGCCACAGCATAGCAAGACTGAAGATTTTGGTTGTCTAGAGAAAGCACTCTGCCAGTCATTTTGCTGAAGGAACTTACATTGTTTGAGAGAAAGCCAGAAGGATCAGTATAGACATTCTGCCATCCAGGTTCATCCTAAATTTTTAAATGTTCCTTTTTTTATTACTCACTATCTCACAACTGGTAAACACATTCCTAGGTAACAGGAACCTAAGGATAATTGCCATTTAGAAAGCATTCTCTCTAGGATGCTGAAATTTGTTCTTAAGGAGAAAATCAAGGAGTGGAGGTACTCTGGTCAGCAGTCCATAAGAACAAGTATGGGGCATTCAAAGTGCAACCCTAAGACAGGAAGGGACTTTCAAATCAAATCACTGGTTCTGTTGATTTTCCCAAAGCCTTTGGAGAAGCTTAGCTCAGAAAGAAGTCTTGTTTGTTTTTTTCCATATTTTGATTTGACTTCCTTATAATCCTCACATTCTAAATCTAACTGAATTAAGCTACACCTAGATCCTGGGGCAATTATTTAATCGTTTGAGGGATTTGTCCATTCATTGGACATAGAAAAGGAGCTTTGATGAGAAACCTGGAAATTATCTGTTCTAGGATTGATGTCAAAAAAGAATCATATAGTGACTTTGTTCTCTGTTTGATTTTGAGGAGACAACATTACCAAACGAGTCTGGAAACCTCCAGAGTCACTAACGGTTGTCTACAGGGAGTCTCTGTCTAGGTGTGGCTCATCCATTGGTAGCCTCCTCCTTCAATAATTTTTCCAAAGATTCATTTTCCGTGTCAGAATTCTCACCTGGCTTCTGACTACAATAAATATCTCACAAAAAATAGTTGGTAACATTTTTGATTCTGATGCTGAAATAAGAATAACAGAATAAAAGTAAGGAAAACAGATGAATAAAGTAATTTTTATGAGGGTTCTTTTTTATATGAACTCATCCTTTCTGGAAATTCAATAAGATGAAACTTTTTGTCACTAGAAATTATCTGTTGGATGTCTTTTGGGGTTGGGGGTGGAGGAAGTAGAGAGAATAAAGAACTATAGACTTATAAGACACTGTGTACTTCCCTCGAAATGCGTTAAGGAATAGATCATCTTACTGTTAAATTTCTGGCTATCCTACAGTGTCCCAGCATGATTAGCCCACATATCTCTGCTGGAGCATGAGTATCAAGAGGGAAATTCAAACAGTGAGTTGAGAGATGTTGAGAAAAAGAATTGCTGGGGCTCCTGAGAGAGATGAGAATTATGGAAAGAGATGAGCTAGATTTTTTTCAGAAGTACTCTTGTAGGTGGTAAAATGTACAGCCTCTAATAACCCTACAGGGGCACAAATACTGGTAAATTACAATTGACTAATATCCTATGTTCCTATAAATGAGACCCTAAGGTAAGACTGAACCATTTGGCATACCCTAATTATTTGGGTTACATAGACATATTTTATGAGCCTACATGGAATGTGAGTTTTGTGAAAATAAGAGTTAGATCTCCCCTCTCTGAATCTTCACGTCCTGTTGGTTCAAGCCCAATAAGTGATGGTAGCATGATTTCTAAGCTTGTTGTTCAGATATAGTGCTTCTGAGTAAAATCCTTCAAAATATTATCAGTAGAAATAGTATTTGCAGAGTATTTTACAGTTTATAAAATGCTTTCCCAATTTATTATCCTTATAACGCATCACTTTATTTCTGCCCTGCAGTGGAAGGATGTGAAAATATCCTCCATAACCAGAAAACAGTCTATTTGATAAACATAAAATCACACTGAACTCCCAAGTTGTTTTTGAGTCCACATAGAACCATCCTTAAATGGGTAGTGGTCTTCTTTTCCCTTCCTTTTACAGACATCTCTTCAATCTCTGGCTCCATCTGGTGGAATATTGTGAGGTCATGACCACAGGCATCATTGTTTCTAAGTCTACCTTAGGGGGCCAGTATTGTGTCTCTATGATCCTCCAAGGAAATGAAAGTAGATCTTTCAGAATCTGAAGATTGGATCACCTGTTGGGCCCTCAATTTTTCTCTTGCTAATGTGACTGCCTCATGGAGTAGAATGTCTATTTTGCAAAAGACCACTTCCCAGTGGGGTTAAAGAAGAAAGACACACAGTTTAAAAGAAAATCCCATCCCTTACCCTGTTCTTTTATATTTCTCACCTCACTTGGCCATAAAAGCATCTCCCATGAAGTAGGGAGGGCTGAGGATGCTACCGAAGAAAAACTTGAAGCTTATATTGTAAGAAAATTGAAATTTATACTAATTGATTTCCCAAAGACCAAAAAATTAAGGAGACAGAGACAAGATCAAAACCAAGTGTTGTGATCCTACACGCAATGTTTACAACACGCACATCATGTTGTTTAAAACAAAGAAAACCCATATTTTATGTTCCATAATAGACATTTTACATATTTTTGAATGCCTTAAATATTACACAATAAAGAATTAAATGAAGAAAATCTCCTTCTCCAAAAGGATAAAAAAATAAAAATCAAATGAAAGAATGGTATTAAAGTGAATCTGTTTAGAATAAGAAAATAAATAATAAAAATTTACCCATTTAGAAAAAGCTGACAAACACCACTAGTATCACAAAGTATACAGAGGAAATAAGATAATATTTTTATTATTGAACTGTCAGATGCTTCTCTATAATCGTTTTCCCCCTACTTTTGCTCTACTTAGAATTTTACACAATTGAATATTGGGAGAATCTTCCACAGACCAGCATGTGACTGCATACGTTTCAAACCTTATTTCTCCTCCACTGTCCACATAAGTTTAGTGCTGGAAGCCATAAGACAGATTCATATCAGGATAGCACCTCAGTCCTACAGCTTGGGTCCATAACCAAAGTTCTTGGAAGTGATTGGTACACCAGAATTCCAGCCACACATTAATGATACTTGAAAGTAACTGTGAAGACATGCATTTATCTCACTATTCCAAAGTAAATGTATCTTCCAACTCAACTTCCACCTAACCTCACCCCCCAAATCCCCATGGCACTCCAGTGCCGCCCAGCATGAGAGGAGGTGTGATAAAAGAGAAGTTGAGAAGAAACAAATAGATATAATCTATTTTGCTTAAATATCTTATTTCTAAAACTTAAAAAAAATCACATATAACTTTGTGAGGACATCGCTGAGCCTTGAAAGGGTTTATGTAAGTGAAGTGCCTTGAAGTTAAGCTTTCTTAGCTTCATGATGATCCATCTCTGATTCCCTCTAAAACACTAGAATTGAAAGAGGCTTATTAAGCTTGGTTTGATCTTTTCGTATCTCACCTACTGATCCTCTTCTTCCATTTCCAGGGTTGTATTAGGGAGATTTTGAAAAGTCAATGCTTTGGAGTAATGTGCCTTATTTTTTCATAACCACCTATTGCCATATAGGAGAAAGACCACTCAAGCCAGCTTTCAGGTAGTTTGTGTTGCTGCATTTCCAAAGTTTGGAAATGAGTATAGCTGGAGAGGAAAGTATGACTCAGATGTGACAGCAACCAAGCAATCCACATAGTAGTCTATGTAAATGGTGGCTTGGCTTCAGGCAACAGTTTGGAGTGAAAAGCATTTCATGTTTACACACTTATTTTCCTCTCTAGAGTTTCTATTCTGTCTCCTTTTCTTTCTTCCTATCTTCTTTCCTCTCAGGCCATGAACAAGTTTAGCCTGCCTAGCTGTGGCAATCATACTATTGATCCTAATGGTAACTTAAATTTCTGACATATTTTAAGGTTGAGAAAACACTGTCCATTTGGTTCAGGTCTTACCAACCACTCCACAGCCACTTCTTCTCTTGATGGTTGGAGGAAAAGCTCACCCTGTTTCCCTTCTTAACCACTTGTGGAACTTCCCACAGTCAATCTATGGGAAGGAGTCTCATGCATGTAGGGAGCAGCAAGAGATTCTGAAAGGTAGGGTGGCAAATGGTGAGAAGACTTGGACATCTTTTAGAACCCTAATAGGCTGCTCCCTCTAGGGCTGGACTTCTAATTACCATATGATTTTTTAAATTGACTCTATTTTTTAGATCAGTTTAAAGTTCACAGCAAAATTGAGTGGAAGGTGAAGAGATTTCCCATATACACCATGCTTCCTCGTACTCATGGCCTTCTCCACTATCAACATTCTCCAGCAGAGTGGTATATTTGTTACAAGCTATGAACCTACAGTGACACAGTGTTATCTCCCAAAGCCCATAGTTTACATTAGGGTTCACTCTTGGTGTTGTACATTCTATGGGTTTAGACAAATTTATGACATGTATTTGCTATTATGGCATCATACAGAGTATTTTCACTTCCTTAAAGATCATTTGTGCTCTGCCCATTCATCTCTCTCCAAAACCCTCAACCCTTGGACACCACTAATGTTTTTACTCTCTCATAGTTTTGCCTTTTCCAAAATTTCATATAGTTGGAATCATGCATACGTAGCCTTTTTATCTTGGCTTCTTTCACTTCTTAATATGCACTTAAGTTTCTTCTATATTTTTTCATGGCTTGATAGCTCTTTTCTTTTTAGTGCTGAGTAATATTCCATTGTCTGGATGTACCACAGCTATCCATTTACCTACTGAAGGATATCTTGGTTGCTTCCATGTTTTGGCAATTGCAAATAAAGCTGCTATAAACATTCATGTGCAGATTTTTGTATGGACATAAGTGTTCAACTCAATTGGGTAAACACCAAGGAGTGCAATTGCTAGATCTGGATAGTATGGTGAGAGTATGTCTCGTTTTGTAAGAAACTGCCAAACTGTCTTCCAAAGTGGCTGTACCATTTTGATTTTCCACGAGCAATGAATGGGAGTTCCTCTTGCTCCACATCCTCACCAGCACTTGGTAACTTTAGTGTTTTCGATTTTTGCCATTCTAATAGGTATGTAGAGGCATCTCATTTTACCACGTGATTTTAAAAACAAACTGGAGGTGGAGAGCAGTTGCATTTCAGGAGATTCACAGGTTGTCATCTTGTCTGTCAAAATCTCTGAGCTAAAGAGAGGGGTTTCTTTTCTTCCCCTGTGACTAGCTTTGTCCTAAGGACCAAATCACTGATATCTTTGGATTTAAATTTTCTTACCCAGACTAAGAAGCAATTGGGATAGGTTTCCAGCCCTGATTGCACATTAGAATCAGCTAGGAAGCTTTTAAAAAGTACTGTTCCCCAGGTACACAAGAGATTAAGTAAATCAAAACCTCTGGGGGTGAGGCTTCAGCATGGTATTTCTATCTTAAAGATTACTGTGAGATTCTACTAGGCAGCGCTGGTTGAATCTTACTGGCTTGAAGACCTACAAAATCTCTTTTAGTCTTCAAATTTTGTGGCCATATAATTCTGTATGACATAATCTCCGTGGCACTCCCCTTTGATAATATAATATTGCAACTACTTGCTAACTGGATCTCCATTTTCAGACACCATAGTACAAGACTTCCAGTTCCAAATTTCTTGTTTCTCTATGTGGCATCATATTCTCTATGCCTTACTACTAAGAAGGGCATGGAGAGAAGATCTATAGATCCCTTAAGATCTCCTGAATATGCAACTTATATAGAGAGACAAATGATGATTTATTTAGAGGAGTTGTAATTCTGTTTGATGCAGAAAAGTCAGTGGATTTAGTATTCCCTTACCTCTTATACACACAAAATAATGTTGGACCAGGGCAAATTAATTACCATGGCAAATGTTACCTTGCTACCCTTTAGTACAGCTCTGTGGTACTATACAAACGTGTACGTGTTCAGCCAACTTGAGCCCTCAACACTGCACGCCAATAATTTGTTTCTCCACGGACAGCTTCCTTTCC